GGGTTCAGGCAATTCTCCTGCCTCAGCCTCCTGAGTAGCTGGGATTACAGGCACGCGCCACCATGCCCAGCTAATGTTTTTGTATTTTTAGTAGAGACGGGGTTTTCACCGTGTTGACCAGGATGGTCTCGATCTCTTGACCTCGTGATCCACCCGCCTCGGCCTCCCAAAGTGCTGGGATTACAGGCTTGAGCCACCGCGCCCGGCCCTTAAAGTTATTTCTATATCGTATGTTTAACCACAAACTATCAGTGTGGTTATCCTTGGAAACAGGAATGGTGAGAGGGGTCTTTCAATTTGGACTTTTTACACTCTTGCATTGTTTCAGTGAACATGTGTTTAAACAATACAAAATTAGCTCTCTCTGGGCTCGGACCGGCAACATGGCCAAACGTACCAAGAAGGTTGGGATCGTCGGTAAATACGGGACCCGCTATGGGGCCTCCCTCCGGAAAATGGTGAAGAAAATTGAAATCAGCCAGCATGCCAAGTACACTTGCTCTTTCTGTGGCAAAACCAAGATGAAGAGACGAGCTGTGGGCATCTGGCACTGTGGTTCCTGCATGAAGACAGTGGCTGGCGGTGCCTGGACGTACAATACCACTTCCGCTGTCACAGTAAAGTCCGCCATCAGAAGACTGAAGGAATTGAAAGACCAGTAGACGCTCCTCTACTCTTTGAGACATCACTGGCCTATAATAAATGGGTTAATTTATGTAATTAAAAAAAAGAAAAAAAACAATACAAAATTAAAACTAAAGGAATGTATGTTTTTAATACTAATAAATAGGCTGGGCGCAGTGGCTCATGCCTGTAATCCCAGCACTTTGGGAGGCTGAGGTGGGTGGATTACCTGAGGTCAGGAGTTCCAGACCACTCTGGCCAACATGGTGAAACCCGTCTCTACTAAAAATACAAAAATTAGCCTGGCGTGGTGGTGGACACCTGTAATCTCAGCTACTTGGGAGGCTGAGGCAGGGAGAATCGTCTGAACTCGGGAGGCAGAGGTTGCAGTGAGCAAACTGTGCCACTGCAGCCTGGGCAACAGAGTGAGACTCAGTCTCAAACAAAACAAAACAAAAACCTAATAACAGAAACTCAAGAGCTATAGAGAGGACTTAAAATTTATATATTTGAACATTTTTCTCCATAAATTCCACTTTAAGGCGATGTGGAGATACAGAAAACACTTTTTCTTCCCTCATGTATTTCAAAGTTTCAGAAATGTTGTCTTAGAGGGAGGGGCAACATGAAGATGTAAAGGCACTAAGGCAGGAGATAGAGTTTATTAAGTTAAATTCAAAACACTATCATCTCATTTAGATAATAATTACAATGACTCTCTTTAAGAAATGTAACATTTCTAAGTTTCTGCCAGTTTATGAGAAGCAGGCAGAAATTCCTGAAGTAACAGCAACCTCATAAATCAAGAAACATCATGTTTTCCAGATTTTTGCTACAGTAGCTAGCAGAGATAATAGTCATTTCATGAAAGGAACTGAGAACAAAAAAACCCACCTCCCCTGAATCTGCATCAGTCATGTTCTCCAACTGCCAGTCTGGAAAATCAAGTCCAAGACAGGACCTACGCCCATCAAGGGGTCTTCTAAGTGCCAGGACTGACTCCAGTCCCACAGATCACCCCCACCTGGATGAGAGGTGCTACCACCATGCTGTCCACCCAGAGCATCCCTGCAGGGAAGGAATCTGATTGGCTGGCTCATATGCCTGTCTCTCAGGCAGGGTATCCTATCCTGGAGACAGGGCTTCCGTTACCACATGATGCAGGGAGGAAAGTTAGGGTGCTGTTACTAAAGCAAAGGGGAATGAGTGCTGGAGGCCAAACACCAGCCAATGGTTGCCATAGCATCTTTGCCTCTTTTTCTAATCGTTTTCAATTCCTGAGTGTGATAATCGGCCATCGTTGATTCCTGTCTTGTGAAACTGATGGCCTGTGCAAACTGAGACCAGTTCCTCTATTCTATCATGTTTCATGACTTCCTGTCTTGATGAGAAGATCTGCAAATTTAGAACCATTGTTTCCACAGGCTGTAGAAAGTGGGGCTCTGCTGGCCTGCAAAGGTTGCTGCTGCTGCAGGGGCCAGGCCGGCAGATGCTTGGGTTTCTGGGCCAGTGGTGGGCCCTAGTACTTGGCACAAGGCAGGTGCTCATTGAAACTTTGTTGAAGGAATCAATAAACATTTTTAGAGGTTCTATACACTAGCCACCTTCCTTAGAATGCGTGAATGCCAGAGCCGAAAAGGACTCTAGGGATATCAGTCCCACCCCTCCTTCTACAGGTGAGAAAACCACAGCCCCAAGAGATTAGGTGACTCAGCAAAGCCTCCTAGAAAATTAAAGGAAGTCAGGAACTCAGCTGTTCCTCCTCACAGGCCCATGGAGTTCCCCTTGCTGCCAATGGCAGGCCCATGCTAGCAGCAAGCCCTGAGTGTGACAGATCTATAATTTGGTCAAAAGCAGTGGTGGTGCTGTCACCAAAGACATTTCTGCCTTTGAATTTTGGCTCCCAGGGATTTGTAGCAGTGGGAATCAGCCAAGCCAGTGTCCTTGCAATTTCTTTTTTTTTTTTTTTTTT